TATAAAGTGTATATATATATATATATATATATACTGTATTTATTTATTTATTTATTTTTTCTATATTTCAGTGTTTAGTGGTGTGCCGTGAGATTTTTTAAAAGGTTGGGAACCACTGAAGTAGGCATCCAGTCAGCTTCTGCATGGTGAAGGTGGGCGCCACTTCATCTACATAGTACACCAGGATGTTCTCCATGGACACCTTTGATCCCTCAGCACTGACTTCAAATGGTTTTTCGTCTTGAAAGAGGGGCTTAACTTTGATCTACGAAAGACAAATTAATTTAGTTACATATTAAGTTACAACATAACAACAGGTATGAAGATAAGAAACATAACGAGACTCACTTCCTTCTCCATGTAGTAAGTCATGAGGGACATGTCTGTAATACGTTCTTTCTCAGGTTTTTTGACATACACAACGAGACGACCATCTCTGTCATACTGGAAAAGAGGAGGTGGGTTGTCTTAGGTTCTTTACTGCAATTTCAAAGTTGAGGGGTTAGATAACAACAGTAAATTCTTACCTTAACCTCAGACACAAATTTCTTACTCAACTTGTAATGTTCCAGTAAAGCGTTCTCAATCCCACTGTAAAAGAGTAACATCAGTAAAACAAAACATAAGCAAAACTTAATATTTCACATGGTCCAGCAAGATCCTAGAAATCAATTGCAACATACGTCTTCAGTTTGGCAGCATCAAGAGAAACAGCTAAATCTTTATGCTTGAGTTCCAGGCGAACCCAACTAGAGAAGAAAACATGGCATTGTCATAATTTACTAGTCTTGCTTCTTTCCACAAACAGCAGTACCATTTCAACCACACTTCAAACTAGGGCTGTGCTTACTCTTAGCATTAACATGTGACCTGTATCCGGATGTTGACCACATACACATTGAAAAGACAAGTGTAAATGCACTTCAGAAGAGGTAGGTCCAGAGGTAGTCAAGGACACATTGTGATCGGATCTCCATGTAATGTAAATGCAATCCAGCCATCGTGTCTACATTCGCAGGTCGATGTCACGCAAAACCCCGCCCCCTCTCTCCTGAACTGTCAGAAGACTTATTTAAACATTGCGAAGGAAAGAGAGATCTGATCGGTTATCCTGATAGAGAAGTCACTTGATCTTGTCAAATGTAAACGCGCCATGTCCTGATTGACTGATGATCCGATCTGCTTGATCGGATCATGGTGATCGCATGTTAATGCCAAATGTAAATCAGCCTAGGTGTGTCAGTCAGAAGAACATCCTGTTAACAGCTCTGCTAATACAAACACACTCACTAGGTCTCCACGGGCTCACACTTGATGTTCTTGTCTCCCTTGTCACTTCTGCGCACACCAGAACTGTTGACGCACCAGTACACATCAGTGCCATTACACTGGATTGCCTTGAACTTTCCATCATTCTCACACTCTGGGTCATAGATGCCATCATTGTGCACAAATGCAGTTTCTACAGGTTTCCCACCAATGGATCTTGTGATCAGGTTGTACCTGGCGCGATACATCTCTGCTTTCATGAGGAAACACTTGGGAATCACTGTGGGTAGGGAGAATTGAAGACACTTACTACACTTGACGAGAGGAACAAAACGCCTTGCCTGGTTTGTTGGTACGAACTATGGAAGTTGGAGCTCAGTTAGTTCAGGTGGTTACCAAAATTCCTCTAAAACACACTGGGAGACTGGTTTAATCTTTTGAAAATCAATTTCACTAACATTTTAGTAAAGGATGCCAAAAAAAATACCAGTACAACAATAGTTACCAAATTAACAAGTTTAAGAGCAAATATAAAAGAAAACTCAAATTTTGTACAATCAATCGTTTGCTTGTGTGTCTTAGAAAACTGAAGAGTGCACTGGCATGGGTCTCCGTCACATCTGGCCCATTCCATAGTGTTACAAGAACCTGTCGGATTAAAGAGAGAGAGAGAGAGAGTGCGAAAGAGATTTCGTGGATACATTTTTTAAATACACTAAAACTTTATTTGGAAGAGAGGTTAAAGTTGAAATGACCCTGGATCTCATTGTTTTGTTTGCCTTGTGACGACCCCTGTCGTTTGTTCGTGGAATGGCTGTAGGAGTCCACAGACTACCTTGATTGGCCATCGTTTGAGACACCTGCTCTCTATCAGACGCAAACTGATTCCAAGATAAACGAATCTATGGCTCCAGTGTCCCTTAGAATCTTAACCGGAATCTCTTCTTTCTCTCCAACAAGAGACACAAGACCTTCTGTAACAAAAGGAGAGTAAGAAGAAAAAAAAACAGGGATTTTATTCCCAACAGATTTACCTTCCACAACCTGGATTGGCGCCGCAAGAACTGTGGGCTTAACATGTGAACCCTGTGTAAGACGTTTGGACTTATTTTTAAGAACAAAACAATCTGCTTTCCAATGTCCTTTCTCATGACAATAATTGCATATTTTATTTGGGTCAAATTTCCCCGTGAAAACATGACTGCATTTAGGCGAAG